TTTGGCCTTTGTTTATCTTCTACGTAAAGAACGATGCCAATCCACCAACTCCTATACGCCACGTGGCTTCCACTGTTTACGTCACCGTACGTTTTCCCTTCTGGCTCCTTCTCCAAAATACTTGTCGATGGAACCAAAAAGAAAATCATTTGAAGGCCGTAATTCCCAGCTTGGGAAGAAATGACCGGAATATCCCTGAAAGTGACGCCAGAAGGAAAGCCACCCCCATGGGCATTTCAGAGTTCTCGTCTGTTACGGTTCGCCAGTTTTCGGAAATCGAGGTCGTTTCGGTGAAAAATGAAAAAGAAAGCCATGCGAGCCGCAAGCCGAGAGCGGCGCCTGAAGGAGTGACAGCGTGGACGGACGGTCCTTTGGCGGCAACACGTGGCGAAGGTTGTCGGGATATATGCCTACGTGGCAAGTGTGTCAAAAGGTTTGAAAAGGAAAAAGGAGAATGAGAAGGGAAATTATTGGAATATCTCGTGAGAATTTTAACGATAGGTCAGGGGATTATTAATTTGGGAAATGTTTTTAAGAAAACTAAAAGTCGATAATCGTAGGATTAGCCCTACACCAAATTAAAAAAAACATTAAGAAAACTAAAGCAAATGATTGAATAGACCATTTTTAGAGGAGAAAAGCATATATATGATCAAATACAACATTAATGCAAGAAAATATTAGATAATATATTTACATGAATATAAGCTTAATACGCATGCGTACTAAAAATAACTATATTGAATATAAATTTTAAATACACAACAAGCTTGTTTATTATATATCATGACCATTACCATCGAAATTTCATTCAAAAAACCACATCCTGCGACATATCAATCTGGTGAAATAATGCCCGTACCTTCAAAGAAGCTAGCTTACCATTGCCACTGAAATTTCATGAAAAAAATATATTTTTGGGAAAACAAGATGAAATGAAGCTCGTACTAATAATTAATGGTATGGATGTGGTAAATTGACTTCTCGCCAACACGTTGAGATATGGAAAAAGAGGAGAGATATATACAGGGGAAGGGTGTAGAGGAAGAGGGAATGAAAAGGGTGAGTTGTGTAGGGAAGCTAGGCATTTGACGTAAGCAACTGGGGACAGCCATCAACCATGCGCAATCGAGCGGTCCTCCCCCCCCTCTAGCCTCTTTCTCCTTTTATATTCTCTTCATATCTCTCTCTCTTTTGTCTCTCT